AATTTCCTGAAAGTAAGTATTCGAGACCAAGCCAAAAAATATCCGGCTAAATCTGAGCTCTTATGGTATTACCTACGATAATACCATAAGAGCTCAGATTTAGCCGGATATTTTTTGGCTTGGTCTCGAATACTTACTTTTAGGAAATTTAACGAGAGCTGTACCGACAAAATCACGAGAGCGCAGCTCGAGTGATTTTGTGGAACAGATTGAGTTAAATTGCATGAAAGTAAGTATGAGAGAGCAAGCAAAAAAATATCCTGCTCAAAATCTGAGCTCGAATAGTATTTAGTACGGCAATTCCACGAATGCATAATCAAAATAAAATATGGAAATACTTTTTAAAATGAACAGTTATTGAAGGTACAATTAGAATAAATATTTTGCCCCTTAAAATTTGACTCTACAGGAAGAGAAAAAAACTCTGTGTTCTCAGGAATTGAATTTTCTATTTTGCTATAAATTCATCTTTAATTGTCCCAAATCGCTGCATGTTGAAAATATTTTTAATTTGATTTAAAAATACACTTTTAATAAGCTAAAATGATAGAACTTATGAATTTTTGTGACAATTATTTGACAGATGATTCAAAAACCAATTTTATATGCAATTGTTACTACGGTAACGATTGCATCAACAGAAAATTTATCCGATTTTTTTATCCAGTTATATTTTCTCTTCCTTCCTATTTATTCGTAGGTAATACCATAAGAGCTCAGATTTAGCCGGATATTTTTTGGCTTGGTCTCGAAAACTTACTTTTAGGAAATTTAACGAGAGCTGTTCCGACAAAATCACGAGAGCGCAGCTCGAGTGATTTTGTGGAACAGATCGAGATAAATTGCATGAAAGTAAGTATGAGAGAGCAAGCAAAAAAATATCCTGCTCAAAATCTGAGCTCGAATGGTATTTAGTACGGCAATTCCACGAATGCCTAATCAAAATAAAATATGGAAATACTTTTTAAAATGAACAGTTATTGAAGGTACAATTAGAATAAATATTTTGCCCCTTAAAATTTGACTCTACAGAAAGAGAAGAAGACTCTGTGTTCTCAGGAATTGAATTTTCTATTTCGCTATTGATTCATCTTTAATTGTCCCAAATCGCTGCATGTTGAAAATATTTTTAATTTTATTTAAAAATACACTTTTAATAAGCTAAAATGATAGAACTTGTGAATTTTTGTGACAATTATTTGACAGATGATTCAAAAACCAATTTTATATGCAATTCATGCAATTGTTACTACGGTAACGATTGCATCAACAGAAAATTTATCCGATTTTTTTATCCAGTTATATTTTCTCTTCCTTCCTATTTATCCGCTAGCAAACTACGATTTTTGACATTTCAAATGGGATTATTTATACATGAGTGGAATTGCCGCTAGCAAACTACGATTTTTGACATTTCAAATGGGATTATTTATACATGAGTGGAATTGCCGAAAATATTTTTCCGCACTTGTTAGGTAAATAGCTATTACATTAGTGATTTTCAGAGTGACACTTTGTTTAGTGTAGGCTTAAGAATTTTTAACAGTATACCCGCAGAATTGAAGCAATGGGACTCCTACTCTAGATTTAAGACTGAATGTAAAAAATATGTAAGAACTTTATAGACTTTGTTGAATACTTTTCCAGACATTCCATGTTGGGTATATTTACCTACTGGTTTAAAATATTTCATAAAATAATTTTGTAAGAGCTTTTTATTGCTAATAAAGTGTTTGATATATATACCTGTCCTTTCTTTTTTTATGAAGTAGTAAAGGACAAAAATAGGTCATAGGTTTTTGTGACTAGTTTTATGTCAGCAATGTTTGGGAATGGTTTACTAATGAGAAATTCGGCATCCTCGCATGTTTAGGAAAGTGACGTCCCTTTCCTATCCCGCGTTTTACAGCAGTTTAAAAATTCGATTTTCAAATCTTTTTATTTTCGAAAATTAGCGTTTTTTGGGAAGAAAGTATAGTGATGGTATCAAAATGACAGATTAATTTAAAAATTTGAAAGTTGCCTATTTTTGTCAGAATTCACCTGTAACATACCCAAATGTTACGCGCTTATTCTTTTATTTCCTACTGAACTATTATAACCATATAATACCTTGGTTACTATAATCATAAACAGGTTCTTAACTCCCAAGGGAGTTAAGGATATCATAACTCCCAAGGGAGTTAAGGATTTCCATAACTTCCGCTTTTACCTTGAATAGGTGAAACTTTGACAAAAAATAGAAATTTTGGTTTATAGTTTATTCCTTTATAAAAATGGACAAAATATAGTAAATTCAGTAGGAAATAAACTTATCTATGTACCACGGGAATTATCAGGTGTTGATAGTTTGATCCGATACGGCGTGATTTCCTTTTGCCCTTTTTGAAGCAGAGCTAAAAAAAGCCAAGAAGTGAGTTTCCAGTGATAGAACAGCTTGTTGCTCTCTATCTTCTGTGTAGCTACCGTGTTTCTTGAGTATCGGTGGTTCTTGCGCGCTGCCTTTTGCCAGGGTTTTGTATTGCCTGGCTGCTAATAGACTTTCTTTGATGGATTCCAGAAGTCTCTGCAGCTTTTCTGTTTGGCTTTGCTTATTTCTTTGTTGTACTCACTCAGTCATCCTTTTAGAAACTGTTCAAACATTTTTTCTGTAGGACCTCTCGATACAGCACGCATTGATTGGTTGAATGTTGATAGCAATATTATAGGAGTCCCCTATTTTTTGAACTTTTATAAATATTAATATTTTTTTAAAATATTTTTGAACTTCACATGTCGAAGGAGAAGTATCTATTAAGTTGAGCTGGAACAATTCTCAAGCCATAGGATACTGACAAAGTCTGAAGGTCAGTCCACCGAATCTCAAGGGCGTAGATACTTTACATTTCTGGGGGGGGGGGGGGTAAAGTCAAGGATGGCCGGGGGGGGGGGGTTCCTTAGTACTATTATTTAAGTAGTTACATACTTTTTTTAATTTATAATGCTAGTTTTAATCAGTTTTTTTGACAATTGACAGATGACACATCACTAAAAATCTACCAGCCTTATTGGCTGAGTTCGTTCGGCTTTGCACTATACGGAGCGGAACGGTATGAGCATGGATATTGTGACGTCATAGGTAGGAGTGAGCTCTGAACAAGTGTACGTAAGCCGAACGCAGATTGAAGAAAAAAAACAACAGAATGGTGTAAATGGCCAAATTCATGTTCTGGGAATGTACTCAGAGCTGTCAAAAATACTAGTTACAAGATAAATTACTTTTGGAAAAAGTATCTGAAGTTACTTTGGGTATTTAGTTACTCATTTAAAAAAGGATCTTCAATACGCATCTTAAGTTACTTTTCAAGATACTTAATAAGATACTCATTAAGATACTTTATTATTAGTTCCAAAAGCTTTTGCTGTTCAGTTTATTTGGTCCACCGGTTTCAGATTCAATTTTAAAAACAAGAATTTTTATAGTTTAAAATTCGCAAATTCGAGAATTAGGTTTAAAATCGCAAGACATAGAAAGTTATCACAGTTACAATCAGAATTCATAGTTACCTTTTTTTAGAATATAATGGATAAATCGTGACGTGAACTATTGAAGTACATCGTCTATAACTCTTTTGTTGAATAAGTGTACACTAACTTTACAGAGCGGCTGGGTGAGTAGGTACAAACGAATATTTACATATAACGTAAGCTTGATGGTTCTTGAATCTTGAAGTTTGAACCAGTTTTATCTTTTTGGGTAAATGTCTCAAGAAACTTTTTTCACGGAACTAATACTTTTTGTTAACTTAGATTTAGATTAGACTTTTCAGCATCTACCTACTTCTAAGTATCTGAGATACTTTTTGGTATCCAAGATAATTTTTCAAGATACAAGTTACAGATCCTTTTGAAAAGTAACTAACGGGTCAATTCTGTGCAATCTGTAAATTTCTATAAGTCTATAGACACTGCAAAACGAATCGATTGCCAAACACTCGATCGGAAATATGTACGATCCTATAAGATATTCTGTAATCTAATAGGAAGTGCAGAATTGCAAATTGTCCATAGGCAGCTATAGGCTTATAGAGATATATAGATTTGCTTACAGATGTGCACAGAATTGACCCATAATAAGATACTAGATACTTCCGCCAAAAAGTAACAAGTATCTAAGTCAGTATCTTAGATACTAAAGTAACTAAGATACTCTAAAGTTAATAATATACTTTTTCCTGACAGCTCTGAATGTACTAGACTTAAATTGATTCAGTGTTAGTGTAAAACTGGGGCAGCACTGCTTTTACTAACAGAATACAGTAATAGATAATACAGTTTTCTAAAAATAAATTTATACTCATTCTAGCAGCTAGCTTTCCAACTTGCAAAGAACCAAGAACAAGAACAAAGAATTTGTATTTGACAATGATATTTTACTTAACCCGGAAGCCCCAATATTTTTCATCTAATAAAATATTAGTTTTTTTCAAAATTTACCAAAAAAAATAGAGATCTGGGGGGGGTAATTACTCCCTCTACCCCCCCATATCTACGCCCTTGCCGAATCTTGATGACATAATAAAAAAAAAACGAACCAGTTACCAGAGATACCTACTTATCTATGCTGTTGATTATTATTCCAACACTTGTATGAATTTTATGCTATTCTACCAGATTCTCAGTTTATTTCATCCCAGTAGTAAAGTATTGAAATTTTGAAAGCGGACCGACTGAGAAAAATAAAATGTAATTTAAAGAGTTTTTTTTTAATGACGACCATTCATCACTTCTGCATAGTCATATGTACCTAATTATGATAATTATTCAATTATTATAATATGTATGCAATATACAAATACATATATTATATATATTTAATTAAATTAAATTTTTTTATTGAAATTAACTAATTTAATTGCAATATTAATAAACAATTATTGGAACATTATTTATTTTTTAATTAGGTACACATTTCATCAATAATTATAGTTATTTTATTAAACATTATCGGCTGTTTTAAGGACATTATAGAGAGAGAGACGAGACCCAATAAGTAAAATTAGCCTTCTAACTAGTCTAACTGGATTTGAGTAGGTACCCATTGAAGTTAACTTTCAACTCCAAATAGGTAGGTACCTATTCTTTGGTATTATATATTCGCCCTGTTCAAAAAAGCACTATCATATTTTTATTTAATTATGAAACCTCCAGAAAATGCATAAAACTGAATCTTATAGATATAAAGTCGGGAGTACAATTTAACTAGAATTCTTTTCTGTTTTTACCAAGGTATATCTGGTCTCTGGTCTTAAAAGCTTAAGTGTCTTGGGAGGACAACAATGGCAAATCGGCTCGATATAATCCTATTTGGAGCAACGGGATTCACTGGAATCCATTGCATTCCATATATTGCTAAACATGCCAAAGAGAATGGTAGAAATCTGAGCTGGGGAGTAGCTGGACGAAACGAAGAAAAACTAAAAGCTGCTTTGAAGGAAGTCGGTGAGAAGTTAGGTAAAACATTTAAAATAATTCAAATTCCAAATAAACCATGATTGCTATTTACAGAAGCTAGTTTTGATAAAATCCCCATCATAATTGCCAGTGTGAATGACTATGATTCTCTGGTAAATATGGGCAAAAGAACCAAACTGGTCATAAATTGCTGTGGACCTTATCGCTTTTACGGAGATGTGGTGGTTAAGGCTTGCATCGAAGCTGGAGCTCATCATCTTGATGTTAGTGGCGAACCAGAGTATATGGAAAGAGTTCAGTTAGAACAGCATGATGCTGCTTTGGAAAAAGGCAAGTACCTAATTGTCAATATTGTACTCTTGAGTTGTATTGTAAACAATTTTTAGGAGTCTATGCCATTAGTGCTTGTGGTTTTGACAGTATCCCTGTAGATTTAGGAATAGTGTTTCTTCAAGAAAACTTTGAAGGTACTTTAAACAGTGTTGAAACCTATCTGCAGACTTGGAGTGAAGGAGAATCTTCAGGACCATCGTTGAATTATGGCACTTGGGAAAGTGCTGTGCAGAGTGTCGCTAATGAAAGCGAGCTGCGCAATATAAGGAAACTTTACAATGAAAAAGTTAAAAGAACTCCAACTTTTCCACCAAAAGTACCACAGAAACTTGTCCCACATAAACCTAAAGTTGGTAGTGGTTGGGCTTTACCATTTTTAGGGTCTGATAAATCAGTTGCCCGCAGAACCCAAGGATTTTTTTATGAGAATGACAATGTTCGTCCTGTGCAAGTTGCGACTTATTTTGTTTTACCATCAATGTTGTATGTTATTGCAGTCATGATCTTTGGTGTAATTTTCAAGCTGTTTCTTTCGTTTGAATATGGCAGAAAGCTGTTGCTCGACTATCCTGCATTTTTCACTGTTGGATTTTTCAGTAAACAATCTCCTTCAGAAGAAAAAGTGCAAAGCACTTGGTTTTCAATTGATTTTTATGGTGAAGGTAATGAGCTAGTTTATGATTTTAACCTGTTTTTCAAATTATATATATTGTGATAGGTTGGAAGGAGAAATTGACAGACAAAGACGACCAATATTCAAAACCAGTCGATAGATGTATAAAAGCCCAAGTTAAGGGTAGGAATCCTGCATATGGCTCTACGTGTTTAGCTGTGGTTATGGCTGCAATTGTACTATTGACTGAAACTGATAAGATGGCCAACAAGGGAAAGTGAGTATATTTATTTATTGATGGTTCGAGCTCAATTTATAGTTATTAATGTTTTAAATAACTATAATAATATGAAGGTAATGATGGTTGAGGTAACAGTCTAATAATATAAACTTGGAGTGTATAATCCAAAATTTTATTAACTAGACTTAGGTTGCCTATAGGATCACATTTTCCTTGTGTCAAAATCCAAACTCAGGGCATAGATTTTTCAACTCATTTCATTTGTACTTGGTATCAAATTGATTATTAAGTGAGCGAGATATAGGTGCCTGAAAAAATTGGCTTTGGTTTGGTTAAGACCAAACCAATACTATCTTAATCTCAATACCTTGGGTAAGCCCAAGGTATTGAGCTGTACAACTTGACCCTGTGCAACTCTTCCACTTTAAGCAAGCCTAATTTCCTGGATAAACCCTAATATCACCAAGTGGATGCTCCTCAATAAGCCCCTGTTGTCCTTCCCTTGATACACCTCTGGCACTCCTCAAAGAAGAAGAGTGCGTTTCTTCAATTCCATGCATCTGTTTTGGAAGACAGTACCTATACAGTTGTAGCAAAACGCCCCAAGTACTCTATGTAATTAGTTTGATGGTAAATGGCGAGCGGTATATTGATGGTGTTTATTTCCTTGGAGCTGCTACCTATAAAATTGTGGAAGGATCTATTTGCAGAAGAGAGAAACAAACTTTCGAGGTGTACTAAATTATATTTTATTATAGGTACATAAAACCAAAAATTTTTAATCAGCAAAATATCTTCCAATTCTGACCGCCTCATCTATTTTTATATACTATTCAATTACTTCACATCCGTTCAAAGGTCATTATTACGGACCACTGAAATATCCATACAAATAAAGAAACGCCCTATTCCTACTATTCCTAATAACTTATAAGTTAACTCATTTCAACACTTCCGATTCATTCCTATAAATTCTTTAAAATTTCTAAGTCCTTTACTGACTGCTTATGAAAAACCCAAAATAATTACCTATTTGTTTATTAATATGGGTATTACTAACTTATTCTTATAAAACCTTACAATAATTTCTACTTGAAAAATAAAAACCCTAATTCAAAAGTCATTTCATGAGCAATAAGTTTCCTTTAACAACTTTCCAATATTTTAAGACAACAATTCTATTTCATGAACATCAAGTTTCTTTTCAAAATTTCCTATTCCATTTAATAGTTTATTTAATCAGAACAAATTCTATTTCTAAATCCAACTGTTTAATTCATAATTCCTACTCAAAATTTTATATTGTTCAGTGCATTATAAATTCCCTTCATATTTTCTTTGCACAATTAAATTAGAATGTCATTATATCTGAAGGCAAATAAAGTTATGCAATAATGTTCCATAGTCAAAACACTCGAGTTATTATTATTAATATTTATGCAATAAAGTTCCAAAGTTAATTATTAAGTCAAAGAGTTTTTCTAGTAAAAATCACTCAAGTTTTTAGGCATTAAAAGACATTGTTAATTCACTTCTTATCATTCAGAATCATTGATAAAAGTCAGAAAATTATTAACCACTAAAGTACTTACATTTAACTTTTCACACGTAAAATTACTTAATTAATTACTCAAAATCTTCTAGAGCCCGCACATAATTTTGAACGAATTTCAAATGTTATTTCTTTCACGATTTTCCGTACTTTTCCAAGACCTTTTCCGAGGCCATAAAAGAACTTTTCGCGAATTTCAACCGGACAGACTCATTTGGTACTATAGACTTTAACTCAAACTGGACTGGACTGCTAACAACTGGCAACTGACTTCCACTTCTAAAACCGCCTGTTTTATATTTTTCGATTCCCCCGCAAAGTATTATTCATTATCCCCCAAAATCGTCAATAGGCGGTCGTTTGACCATCAATCAATAAGACAATCCCATTGGCCGACCTAGATATTATCAAAAATAATGATGCGATCTCCTTCAAATTTTTGTCATCTTTATATGCTTAAAAATTCGAAAAATTATGTCGCAATATCCTGATTTATCGGGGTCGATACATTGGTTCAAGAATGTGAGGATAACACAAACAAGCCGACACACGTGTGCCATAAATCATGGATTTTAATTACATAAGCCTCGCTTAAAAAAAGTTCATTGATCGGATGTTAGGATGACATCACGCTGGAGGAAATATTATAATTTCGAATGTATTTGGGGTCGCGTTAATTTGTTCCATGTTTAATTTATCGATACTGATTTGGAAATAACGGAAATTCAATTTTTGATTATTTGATATTAATTAAATAATCAAAATCAAAGTTGAAAACAAAACTTTAAGCAGAATAATTTAAAATACGCATAAAAACATATTGAAAACAAACTTGCTTTACCGCCATGCCATATTGAATTTTCCTTTTTGACAGATGGATTGAATTGCCTAATATTATCTAAACCGATAAGCCTATTGCAATTATAATATGTTTTTTCTTTGTACGTGTGAGTTCATTTGGATTGTCTTTATACACTGTGGCGATATTTAGGCATTAGGGATTAAGGTTACATGTAGTGGGTAAGTTGATTTTTTGAGTTGTCCATTTCTGTATCCAGCGCGTTCTTGAAGGCGTTGACAGTTGGTGCATTTACAATAGATTCCTGAAGGCTGTTCCATCTGTATCGAGATCTGTATGCAACTCTATTGCTCAAAAAGTTCTTCCTCAAAAGCAGAGCTGGGGGCGGACTCTATAAGCTCAAAGCGAAACAATGACGTTCTTTATGGGACGCTTTGTTCGGTTTGCTATTCTATAACCCTTTTCGGGAAGAATCAGGGACTCCGATCACGAAGCCGATTGCAAAGCGAAAGCGATGAATTTTGGCTCGCGTTTTGTTTCGTTTTCCACTGGAAAGTTTTCAATTTCCATTGTGATTGGTCGATCATCGTAAAGCTAGACAATTACGGGTTATGTTATTGGTTTTGATCTTGACGATCCGTTTCAACCTCCTATCTGTTAAACCAAATGGGTCACTTCTATCTAAGAATCTAAGGTATAAACAGTCTTTTTATTCATTGTCCGAAGGAACCTCGCGTTAACCTTCAACAAATTGTACCGGCAACATTTTCATCACACAATAATATGAAAAATGCAAGATAAATAATATTGAAAAAAAAATAGGAATGATTAATTATGTCATTGAAGTTCCGAAATAATCAAAATCCAAATTTGGGGTGTTCCTTTTGATTTTCTCTTCTTTTTTACGGTTTTTGCTTAGAATATCAACATAAATCGACTTCGCTATGGTTTAATAGCTTAGTTTTGCTATATAAACGAAAATTACAGAATTCCCTGGCAGATCTTTCTTTGTTGCGTTTCTTTGAGTGGTAGCGTAGTTCTTGCGTATGGAAAATTTTGAAGAATGCCAGATTGATTTTTGTGCTGAAATAACCCGTTAGTAGTACTTTTTGAAGGTTTCAATGAGATCACCTCTTTATAGCCTTTCTCTTGATGTACTTCACGGTATGGTAGGTAGCTCAGTTCTAGAGATATCTTGGTGATCCTCCTTTGGAGTCGTTCGGTAATATCTATGTCTTCTATACAGTAGGGGCTCCATACAGCATGGTCTTATTCTAGCTTAGGACGCACAGAGGTTATTTAAAGGCTTTTTATCATTTCCACAGAGTGGTCACTAAAAGCTCTCTTTATTAAGTACACTAGGGTGTCCGCTTTTTTAGTCATGAATCCATTTTAAGTCAGAGCTAACAATAACTCCGAGATCCCTTTGTTGATTGACTTCTGCAACTACGCATGTTCCAATTGTATACTCAATTTTTGAGTTATTTCTACCGATGTGCAAAACAGTGAACTTGTTCTCGTTGAGGCTTAGCATTCATTCGTTGGTTCAATGGAACAAGCTGCGGAGATCTTCTTTCAGTTTCTGAGTGCCATGGGTTTAGATTGCAGTAAAGCTTTGTATTGTAAACAAAGTACGTGATACCAGACTGAAGGCCACTTCCTATATCACTGATGTAAATAATGAAGAGCAAAGGGCCTAAGACAAAGCCCTGGGGCACTCCACTCAATGCCTTGTGCTGCTCAGATAACACTTCACTTGCTCTCACTGTGAATGGTCTGCCTTGCAAGTAACTGGAGATCCATAGGAGTAAGCTACCCCTTACACCAAGGTGGTCAAGCTTGTATAAAAGTCTTTGGATTGGAATCTTATCGAACGCCTTCTCAAAGTCCAGATAAACTACATCAACAGCCCCTCCACTAACTACTTTTTTTGTCCACTTGTTTAAACATGAAAGCAGGTTTGTGGTAGAATAGTAGAAATCCATGTTGGTCTGCAGGAATAACGTCATTTTCCAGAACAAAATCCTTGATTTTATCGGCCACAACCTTCTCCATTGACTCACATGAAGTGCATGCTAAACTTATGGGACGATAATTTCCAGGGTTGTGTTTGTCTCCCTTCTTGTAGATGGGCGTTATAATTGCCTTGGTCCACTTGTTTGGCACTCTTCCATTAGACTGTTCATTGCCGATGAGAGTGGTTCACAAAACTTCGCAAATCTCTTCTGGCGTAAATTTGACTGATGTTATTTGGGCAACTCAACGTTGACTTCTTAGTGTTGGGAAATTTTGCACTGTTTCTCTGGTGAAGACTTTCTCAAATTGTTTCGTCAAGGTTTCTGAAATCTGCTTTGAATCTCCAATTATATCTTCGGTATCCTGGTATTTTAGAACAATATATGTAGTTTGAATTGAGTGTTCTTTTTATATAGGAATAGAATTGTTTATCAGATCTTGTGAGTTAATCCAAAGTCTAAAGATCCTCGAACAAGTCCGGTCACTCCTTTGATCTCCTCAAAAAGCCGGCTTTTTTTGCGGAAGGTCGTAAATCATGTCAGCACGCGCCGATTTGTAGATAAGAAGCAAATACGAGGGCGCTGGTCCCGATTGTACTTGGTAATGTTTTTACAGGGGGAGTTTGAAAAAGAATGTCTTTAAAGAATATTTACGTTAATAATTTTTTGG